GAAAACAAAGAAAGGTGCACCAATTTTTGGTATTGTAATAAGAGAGAAAGCACTGTCACCTTACCACTTAGGACCACTGATAAAAACAAAGAAAGGTGTACATACCACTGTTACACGACAAGAGAGAGTCTGAGCAGGAAGGAAAGCCAGCACAAGAGTGTTTGTTTACTACTAGATAGTTCAGCTTTTAAAGTGCACATTTGCTTGCATAACAACAAATTTATTGGGAAAGTGAATGTACTGACCATGCTGCCACTTAGAACTTCCTTGTTATCCAGTTAAAGGAAACTATTTCTAAGGGAAGCAATGTGCCTCAGCAAGTATTTAATAAGACAGTATATTATTGAAGATGATGTTACCTGGAAGTTAAAGAGCAAGCAAGGGAAAGGTGCAGCTGAATTAAAGACAGTAAAGTAGTGCTTGATCTTCTAACTGTGCAGTACTAATGTATCAAGTGACTGCAGGTGTAAGACGACTATTATTTATCACTCACAGAATCACTCTGCTTTAAAAGGTAAAGAAAAAATAATTTTTCCTGTTATTTGATGATGTAAGAAGCCAGAATGGATAAGAGCAGCCTAGTTTGTTGAATGGTTCCAGGAGACTTTCTTTTCTTTTCTTTTCTTCACTCAGGATATACATTTTCCAAAAAACTTGCCTTGCATTGTGAGTTCTTGTCACTGTTGATAATTGTTGTAATCATGATCAGTCACCATCCTGCCCACATACTAACAATATTACAGCTACATCATGGTTGGTCACCATCCTGCCATTGTACTAACAATATTTCAGCTGCATCATAGTAACAATAATCACCACCTGGTAAACGTTTATTCATTACAGAATGAGTCTTTGTTGAAGTGTCAACTTGAGGTCTCGTCATCACTGCTGAGCAGAGAGTCGTGGGCCCAGAGTGAGCTCGACAAACTTTACAAGACTGCTTGTCTCGACCGCTTGGAACAAACAATCAAGTACACCTTTAAAGAAAAAAGCTTCATTGTGCAAGCTGTAACACACAGCTCCTACACACTCAACAAGGTACAGTGTTCCTTCAGTGTTACTGGCTATAACACACAGCTCCTACACACTCAGCAAGGTACAGTGTTCCTTCAGTGTTACTGGCTATAACACACAGCTCCTACACACTCAACAGGGTACAGTGTTCCTTCAGTGTTACTGGCTATAACACACAGCTCCTACACCCTCAACAAGGTACAGTGTTCCTTCAGTGTTACCGGCTATAACACACAGCTCCTACACACTCAACAAGGTACAGTGTTCCTTCAGTGTTACTGGCTATAACACACAGCTCCTACACACTCAACAAGGTACAGTGTTCCTTCAGTGTTACTGGCTATAACACACAGCTCCTACACACTCAACAAGGTACAGTGTTCCTTCAGTGTTACTGGCTATAACACACAGCTCCTACACACTCAACAAGGTACAGTGTTCCTTCAGTGTTACTGGCTATAACACACAGCTCCTACACACTCAACAAGGTACAGTGTTCCTTCAGTGTTACTGGCTATAACACACAGCTCCTACACTCTCAACAAGGTACAGTGTTCCTTCAGTATTACCGGCTTAACACACAGCTCCTACACACTCAACAAGGTACAGGGTTCCTTCAGTGTTACTGGCTATAACACACAGCTCCTGCACACTCAACAAGGTAGTGTTCCTTCAGTGTTACTGGCAATACCACACAGCTCCTACACACTCAACAAGGTACAGTGTTACTGGCTGTAACACTGCTCCTACATACTCAACAAGAAACAGTGTTTCTACAGTGCTGCTGGCTATAACACACAGCTCCTACACACTCAACAAAGTACAGTGTTCCTAAAGTGTTACTGGCTGTAACACACAGCTCCTACACACTCAACAAGGTACAGTGTTACTGGCTGTAACACACAGCTCCTACAAATACAGTAGAGGGCAGCAAGTGTCTAGCTCCCTTAAGGTTTACTATGTGTTCTGATAGTAGGAGCATAAGATATAAGAGAGATGAGCAAAGATTAATTGCATGTGCAGGAAGCATAGATATTCTTGCTGTAACAGAGACCTGGTCCAACCTGAAGGATAGAGAAATGCCTTGAGTCTACCAACTCGACACTATCCAAGATTGATTTTTAAAACAGTTTGTGACAGAACCAACTAGAGGAAATAACCTACTTGACTTGGTTCTTGTCAACAAGGAATCACTAATTAATAATCTTGAGATTAATGATGAGCTTTGGGGAATGTGATCACAGATCACTCAATTTCAATGTATCATGGAATTACTTTCATAACTACAACCAAGTCAATGTCCTTGACTTCCATTTGGTCTATTTAGTAGGACTGAGAAATTACCTGGGTGGGTTAACTGGTGTGACCTGACTATGGGTCAGGTAGGCGGTGATGGTTGCTGATATGACATTTTTCAAAGCATAGTTTCTAGCTGCCCAGACTACTGATATTCCAAATAAGGAAATTAGATCAAACAAAAATTACCCTAAATGAGTAAAGAAATCAATATATTCAATTAAAAAGAGAAATAAAAAAAAAAGGGGGATAAGGAAAGTGAAAAGAGATTGAGGCTAAAATAGCAAGGGATTCAAGGATTAACCCAAAAGGTTTCTTTCAGGTACACATATGTAGGAATAAGATTAGGGACAAGATAGCCCTATCGAAAGCTACTCTGGTCATCTCACTGACATTGATAAAGAAATGTGTAGAAGCTTTAGTACTTATTTCCTCTTGGTTTTTATGAAGGAAGAAACTAGAGAAATTCCAGAAATAAGAAATTATGTAGATCGGGAAAAAATAAGTCATGCATGAAGGGTCACTAATGACATGGTTTTCAGACAAATATATAAATTAAAACCTAACAAATTTCCTTGGTCCTGATGATCTGTTAACAAGAATTAAAAAAAAATGTAAGGAGGAACTTAGCAACCCATTGGCTAGTTTTCCAACATATCAACCTACAAACTGGCATAGTGCCAGATAAGTGGAAAATGGCAAATGTGATACCTATCTATACAGCAGGAGACAGGGCCTTAGCTTTGAATTTTAGACAGATAAGCCTGACTTCCATAATGGGAAAATTGATGGAATCAGTAATTGCCGAGGCTGTTTGAAGCCACCTTGAAAAACATTGATTAATGAATCTCAGCACAGTTTTACAAAGGGGCATTCCTGCCTTAGAAATTTACTAACTTTTTTCACTGAGGTATTTGAGGAGGTAGATCATGGTAATGAATATGATATTGTGTATATGGACTTCAGTAAGGCTTTTGATAGTTTCACATAGGAGATTGTTGAGGAAAGTAGAGGCACATGGAATAGGAGAAATTTTTTTGTGGATAGAGGCATGGTTGACAGATAGGCAACAGAGAGTTCACAAAAATGGGGAAAAATCACAGTGGGGGATGCAGCACCAGCAGTGTTTCACAGGGGTCAGTGTTGGGTCCTTTGTTGTTCACAATTTACATAAACAACATAGATGAGGGAATAATTGGTGATACAAGCAAGTTTGCCCGTGATGCCAAAATAAGCCGATGAATTAATTCTGATAAGGATACTAAGAGTGCTACAGAAAGATCTGAATAGATTCATGCAGTGGTCGGAGAAGTGGCAGATGGAGTTTAAGTGTATAACTGAATTATCTATTCTATAATAATCCCTAGTTCTTTTATATTTTTACAAGTTTTAGAATAATTACAGTCTTATTCCTAAGTCTAGTTGTCGATTCACTATAAATCTTATAATATTTTACTCAGAAAATCTAGTTTGTAGAGTCACTCTCATCTTTTGACTACAGGCAAAGATCCCGATGTTAACTTTTTACTAAATGAATTACACGAATCAAACAGCAATTGTAATTACTATACAGCAGACCAAGCAAAGACATTACTCAGAGCAAACAATAACATAACTATCTTTAACTACAATGTCAGATCCTTGATCAAACATTATGATGACCTCACAGCATTACTCAATTCCCTTGATTCCAATACATGTATATCAATCATCACACTCACAGAAACCTGGCTTAAGCCTGATGTTACAGATGTCTATGCCATGCCTGGCTACATGGCCATACACAACTGTAGAACAGACCAGCAAGGGGGAGGAACAGCTATATACTACTCAAATCAACTCGAATGTATCAAAAAATCTTGCACAAGGGATGAACATGGAGAGTATATCATAGCCAAATTTAAATCAAAAGACCTGCAAAAACCCCTCACAGTTATAAACATCTACAGAGTACCACAGTCAAACATTTACCACTTTAGTGAAAAACTAGGATACATGATTACTGATGCACACATGAATAAATACCACCTGCTACTAACAGGAAATTTCAACATAAACTTACTACATGACCAGGACCCACAAATAACCGAATTCACAAACACTATGAGCAACTGCCTGTTGCTACCAACAGTATCTAAACCTACAAGAATCACTGAGACAAGTATTTCTTTAAGCCTTTGACTGTTTTGGTCGTATATATATGTCTTACGCACCACTGTTTTTGACGTATTTATACGCGTAAATTCTTGCGGCTTCAAATCAAACGGGAGAAAGCTGGTGGGCCCAAATGTGAGAGAATGAATCTGTGGTCGGTGTGCACCACATAAAAAAAATCCTGCAGCACGCAGTGCATAATGAGGAAAAAAAAACTGACCATTTTTTTGGATTAAAACGCTGACTTTGAGGTGTATTTTCATATAGTATTTATCATTGTATTCTCGTTTTCAAGGTCTCAGGTGATAAAATGGAAAACATATTACAAAGGTAGAGATGATTTTGATTACTTTCGCTGTGAAATGACCTTGAAATTGAGCTCAAAGTAGCAGAAATGTTTGATTTTTAGCAACGTTCAAGAGTAACCAAATCACACCACACGTCCAATACACATCAACTGGGGAGTCTAATATTCTTTCACTAGTGCACTGATATTATTTATACCATTTTTACAATAATGCAGTAGTCAGCATAACAGTAAATTTTGCATTTTTTTGTATGAATAAAAAATCAAAATATAAGAGGGGCCTAGAGACATGACTAATAAACAGAGATATGTTATTTTAGTGCCAAGAATGTCTACATTGTTTATTATGAACCCTATTTTGAAATTGGCATCTTTTTTAATTTGCATGAAATTGGCCAAATTGCCAATTTCTGACCACTTTATTGGGTAATTCAAATCGGTAAATGGGCGGTTTCTTGTACTCAACTGATAGAAAAAATGGAGTTCTAAAGAAATAGCTATGAGTTTGGTCACCTGGAACAACGGAATTGGCCAAAAACAGGGCTCAAAGTTGGCAAAATCACCAATGCGTATATGTCGCCGAGACCGCTAACTTTGCAGGAGGGTAATTCCGTGAATTTTTACCAAATTTTATACTTTTCGTGTCATTACCATCTGGAAAAGATTCTCTATCATTTCATAATAATTTTTTTTTTTTTTCCAAAAATTTATCGACATAGAATGATGGTTTCAGAAAGGGGCCTGCGACAGTCAAAGGGTTATTAGACCACATCTGGACTAACACCATATCCCCTTTAAAATCAGGCATAATCACAGAAAACACTACAGACCACTACGCAACCTTTCTCATAACTAATCTAGGTAAATTGCCACAAGACATTACTAAAGTAACCTTCAAACTACATAACGAGACAGCTGTTAACCCTTCCAGGGTTGGTGCCATACTAGTACGGCTTACGCACCAGGGTTGTTGCTGTACTGGTATGCATAAATTCTAGCGGCTTCAAATTAAGCAGCAAACAGCTGGTAGGCCTAAAATTCTGGGACCCAGTGGCGCATTGTGGGAACACCATTTTAGTAGACCTTGTTCACCATGCCTCACGGTAAGAAGCTCCTCACTCCTCGGCGAATTGGGACACTTTTGTTCCCCAGTGAGAGTTCTAATACAGATCAAAGTGCCAGTGAAGATAAGTTTCAAGGTTTTGGTGAGGTTGTGACCGAAACTAATGACCATAATACCGGTAATAGTGAGGAAAACCCAGACAACCCTCAGCCTTCTACCTCTGCTGCTGGGCCGTCTTGTTCATGTTCAGTTGTACCAGAATCAAAGAGGAAACTCCTATTTTCCCAAATCCTGGACTCAGATGTGAGCATTGGTGATGATAATGATCGTGAATATGAACTACAAGCTCTTGAAAACAGTTCCAGTAGTGATAGTGAAGTGGAATGTTCTCCAGTGAAGCGACAGTATATACGACGATACATGCGCTCTGGTAGTGTGCCATATGCTATTCCAAAGGGAAGGAGTACATCTCGGAGTACATCCTGTTGCTGTACAACAGAAGCAGACAGTGAAAATGAAGATGATAGTGTTGCAATTGGGATGGAAAATGTGCATGGTGGTGGTAGTGGTGGTGCCAGCCATGAGGCACCAGCAGTGGGCCATGCTGCCACCCACGCCGCTGCCTCAGCTGATCTACAACAAAGGCCACTATCCCCCACCCACCCACCACACCAGCCTCCACAACCACAACCACCTGTCAGTATCCAGTACCCACCAGCAGACCGCTCCTGGGATTGACAGGAAGCTGCCAATTTTGTTCCCAATCCCCATCAGTTTGATGAAAGTCAAAGTGGAATACAGCCTTCTTATACACTTGGGAACAATGCCAGTGAACTGGAGTGTTTCGAGTTATTCTCTGACGAACCTCTGATGGAAATTATTGTCAGGGAAAGCAACAGATACTACGAGTACACCATGGCAAACACAATACCTTCACCAAACTCACGCCTACACCAGTGGAAGGAGACAACTGTGGCTGAGATGTATCTTTTGTTTGCCACAATAATGCTTATGCCACATGTGTATCTGCACAGTGTGAGATCATACTGGTCAACAGACTGCCTGATTGCAACCCCAGGTTTCAGTGATATAATAGGAGTGAATTGATTTGTGCTACTATTACGAATGCTTCACTTCTCAGGCAAAACCAGGCCTCACAGAAACGACAGGTTATATAAGATTTGGAATGTGTTCATGTATCTCAAACAGAAATTCAATATGTATTTTTACCCCTTCAGGAAGCTTGTATTGTGGTCTTTGATTTTGTTCAAGGGAAAACTCTGTTAAGCTACTACACTGGGGAAAAAGCTTTGGTAAAAGTTGTTTTTCGCTTTGTGATTGTTACAGTGGTCTTGTAGTGGATATAATTGTGTACACTGCAAGTAATACATTGCGAGATACCATTGTTCTAACCACATCTGGTGATGTGGTTAGAACAGTGATGGAACCATGTCTTGGTAAGGGACATATATTATATACTGATAACTGGTACACAAGCCCCTTACTCAGTGATTTCTTGAGAGTGAACATGACAGATGTGTGTGGCACAGTGCGTGCAAATCGTAAACATATGCCCAGGTTCGACGCTGGCACTCGTAGTGGTGATGTGCAGGCCTTTGCTGCCAATGACATCATGGCATTTCGGTGGCATGATAAATGAGATGTCACACTGTTGTCATCAGTTCACCCTAATGAAATGACAGACACTGGCAGGCAGCATAGAGAAAGTAATGAACCCATTCTAAAACCTGCAGCTGTGTTCAGTGGACAAATGTGACATGCAGATTGGGTTTGCTGATTGTGTTCGCAAGAGTTATAAGTGGTAAATGAAACTCTTTTTCCATCTTCTGGACATTTCCATGCTCAACACTTATAATATATATAAGATGAGGACCAGAAACAAACCACCATATGGCAAATTCTGTTTGTTTGTCATCAGACAAATAGTATTCAAGTACCAAGGAACAACACCTGCAATAGAAAACCGCCCACTAAATTTTCAACAACTACCTGCTCGTCTGAAGCATGGTGATCACTTCCTGGTAAAACTGCCTGCTACTGCTTTCAAGAAAAAGGCTCAGAAGAGGTGTTACATCTGTGCACATACAAAAAAACGCCCACAACAACGCAGAGATACTCGTTTTATTTGTGAGGAGTGTAAAACACCATTGTGCATGGCACCATGTTTTAAGTGAGGAGCATACTGTAATGGTGGTGGGTTTGTGTTAACCATCTTTGATATTGTTTTGATGTCATCCGTACATCATTTATAAAATTTCTGGTATATTTTTAATTGTTTATACAGTAGTGTACTGTGTATTGACTCACGAAATCGTAATGACACGATTGCTAACAAACCATACCACGGGCGGGATTTGATCACGCGGTCAGAGAGTCTCCAAACTCCAGACCGTCGCGACGGTCTGGAGTTTTGAGACACTCTGACCATGGATCAAATCCCGCCCATGGTATGGTTTGTTTACTGTGTATTGTAATCAACAGAATAGAGGAAATCAGCTCTAATATATATTATTTAGGTATGAATACTTGTCAGAGAGCCTGTCGTAAGTCCGAGCCATCGGTAAATGAGTATGTCACTAAGTGAGGAGAGGCTGTACTTGCGACAATTATTGTGAATTTAGTACGTACTGTTGTTTCTAGTATCGTAACGATACTTTATTTTCATCACATTTGATAAGTTATTAAATATTGATGTTGATTATAATGTTGCAGGTGACTGACTGCTATCAGAGACTGGAGTTTCTAGGTGATGCTGTGTTGGACTACTTGATTACTGGTCATGTCTACTCTCACTTCACTTCATATTCACCAGGACAGATATCTGACTTAAGGTGAGCACTTCACTACATTTCCTATTCCCCCAGAACAAATAACTTAACCCCTTGAGGATCTGTGCCATAGTTCTACGGCTTTGAAGCTACGGTCAGTGCTATAGTACTACATTATGAGTTCAGCTCACTCAGATAAGCTGTGAGCAGAAAATTTGGGTCTGGATATGAGAGAATGGGTCTATGTTGTAAGTGTGCACCATACAAAAAAAGTCCTGCAGCATAGTGCATAATGAGAAAAAAACTGCGACTATGTTTTGGATTAAAAGAGCGACTTTGCAGTGTATTTTCATGTGGTTTTTATGGTTGTATTTGTGGTTTCTTAGTCTCAGTTGATAGAATGAAAGACATATTACAGAAATAGAGATGATTGTGATTGGTTTCAGGAATGAAAATAGCTTGAAACTGAGCTCAAACTAGCGGAAATGTTAAATTTTTGCCGATGTTTAAGAGTAAACAAATCACATTGTGTCCAATTTATTTTATTTATTTATTTTTATTTATTTACAGTGGACCCCCGCATAGCGACCTTAATCCGTGCAAGAGGGCTGATTGTTATGCGAAATGTTCGGTATGCGAATGAATTTTCCCCATAAGAAATAATGGAAATCAAATTAATCCGTGCAAGACACCCAAAAGTATGAAAAAAAATTTTTTTTACCACATGAAATGTTAATTTTAATACACACAAACTGAAAAAGGCATGCACAATTACATGACACTTACTTCTATTGAAGATCTGGTGATGATTGATGGGATGGGAGGAGGGGAGAGAGAGTGTTAGTGTTTAGAAGGGGAATCCCCTTCCATTAAGACTTGAGGTGTCGAGTCCTTTTCTGGGGTTACTTCCCTTCTTCTTTTAATGCCACTAGGACCAGCTTCATTGTCACTGGACTTCTTTCGCACAACATATCTGTCCACAGTGGCCTGTACCTCTCGTTCCTTTATGACTTCCCTAAAGTGTTTCACAACATTGTCAGTGTAAAAATCACCAGCACGGCTTGCAATAGCTGTGTGAGGGTGATTTTCATCCATGAAGGTTTGCACTTCAAGCCACTTTGCACAGATTTCCTTAATCTTTGTAGTAGGCAACTTCTTCAATTTCTCTCTCCCCTCCCCTGAACCAGTTTCCTCAGGTCTGGCCTCTTGCTGTTGAAGTTGATCTATCAGCTCATCAGTGGTTAGTTCTTCATTGTCCTCCTCCACCAACTCTTCCACATCATCCCCACTAACCTCCAACCCTAAGGACTTTCCCAATGCCACAATGGATTCCTCAACTGGCATAATCCTCTCAGGGTTAGCCTCAAACCCTTCAAAATCCCTTTTGTCTACACATTCTGGCCACAGTTTCTTCCAAGCAGAGTTCAAGGTTTTCTTAGTCACTCCCTCCCAAGCCTTACCTATAAGGTTTACACAATTGAGGATATTTAAGTGCTCTCTCCAAAACTCTCTTAGAGTCAGTTGAGTTTCTGAGGTCACTACAAAGCACCTTTCAAACAGAGCTTTTGTGTACAGTTTTTTGAAGTTTGCAATAACCTGCTGGTCCATGGGCTGCAGGAGAGGAGTGGTATTAGGAGGCAAAACCTTCACCTTAATGAATTTCATGTCCCCATAAAGTCGCTCTGCCACGTCTGTAGGATGACCAGGGGCATTGTCTAACACCAGGAGGCACTTAAGTTCTAATTTCTTTTCAGTTAGGTAATCTTTCACATTGGGGGCAAATGCATGGTGTAACCAGTCATAGAAAAAGTCCCTAGTGACCCATGCCTTACTGTTTTGCCCTCCACAGCACACAACAAATTCTCCTTGAGGACATTCTTTTGCCTGAATGGTCTGGGAGTTTCAGAGTGATACACTAATAAAGGCTTCACTTTGCAATCACCAGTAGCATTGGAACACATCAACAAAGTAAGCCTGTCTTTCATAGGCTTATGTCCTGGGAGTGCCTTTTCCTCCTGAGTAATGTAGGTCCTGCTTGGCATTTTCTTCCAAAACAGGCCTGTTTCATCACAATTAAACACTTGTTCAGGTTTCAGTCCTTCACTTTCTATGTACTCCTTGAATTCCTGCACATATTTTTTCAGCTGATTTGTGGTCCGAACTGGCAGCCTCACCATGCCTTATCACACTATGTATGCCACTACGCTTCTTAAATCTCTCAAACCAACCTTTGCTGGCCTTAAATTCACTCACATCATCACTAGTTGCAGGCATTTTTTTAATTAAATCCTCATGCAACTTCCTAGCCTTTTCGCTTATGATCGCTTGAGAGACGCTATCTCCTGCTAGCTGTTTTTCATTATCCACACCAATAAGAGTCTCTCAACATCTTCCATCACTTGCGATCTCTGTTTCGAAAACACAGTTGAACCTTTGGCAAGAACAGCTTCCTTGATTGCCTTTCTGTTGCCCACAATAGTAGAGATGGTTGATTTGGGTTTCTTGTACAACCTGACCAGGTCGGCGACACGCACTCCACTTTCATACTTATCAATGATCTCTTTCTTCATCTCTATTGGAATTCTCACCCTTATTGCTGTAGGGTTGGCACTAGAAGCTTTCTTGGGGCCCATGGTCACTTATTTTCCAGATAAAGCACCGAAAACACTGTAATAATACGAAATATTCCGATTGTATGCTTGGATGTTACCGCGGAGGCTGGCTGGTAAACAATGCCACCGGCGGAACATGTGAGGCTGGCTGAGGGCGCACATTGGACGCGTCTCGGACGGAGAACGGTGAGCGGGTTTTTGGGCGGTATGCGAGGCTAAATTTTTGCGATCAAAGCGATCGGTATGCGGATTGTACGGTATGCGATGCGTACGGTATGCGGGGGTCCACTGTATAGCCATTCTTCATGTATTCAGACTTGATAAAATAAATATATTCACCACTCACTATAAGCAAAGGACAAACATATTTTAAGTTAAGTAGTATAAGTAAGGTAGTGGGTTGGTAGACAGCAACCACCCAGAGAGGTACTACCGTCCTGCCAGGTGACTGTTAAACAGAAACCTGTAACTGTTTTACATAATAGTAGCTATCTGGATAGGCTAGAAAATCCTACACCAAATATTTTACTCCTTGGAGATTTTAATCTCTCTCGTGTAAAATGGAAAATGGCACAACGTAATGTTATACCAGAAATATCTCCGGGAAGCACCCTGGCTCAACAGGTACATACCAGGGAAATAATGAGGCTTTGTTAAAAGTACTCTTTAAACCAACAGGTAATTGATCCCACCAGAAATGAAAATACTCTGGATTTGATATTCACAAACAACAAGGAACTGATCAGAGACATAACAGTTTCCAAAACTATTTACTCTGATCATAACATCATAGAGGTTCAAACTAGTATTAACTCAGGGGTAGGAAACTGCATTGCTAAAGTTAGAGACGGGATGTTCAATAAGTTTAATTTTAACAACCATAGAATTAACTGGGAAAAAATAAACCAAGAGCTATCAGACATGAGTGACCTAAATCCCCACCAGTGCCTAGAGAAGCTGAATACAAAAGCATACAAAATATGTATGAAACAGGTACCATTGAGGAAACCCAGAGGAAGATCACATATAGAGAGAGAGTGCAGGAGATGGTACACAAGAAGAAAACGGGTTACTGAACTGCTTAAAAATGCAAATATGCTACAACAGAGGAAAGATAAACTTAGCAGTGAGATCACTGAGTTATAGCAAAAACTTTGGATGTCATACCTCTCAGAAGAAGTACAAAGAGAACAAAAGGCCATACAGGACATTGCAAGAAACCCAAAATATTTCTATTCCTACACAAAATCCAAGCTAAGAACTACCTGTAGAATTGGACCATTACTGAGAGGAGACTCGTATACTGACGATGGACAGGAAATGAGTGAAATCCTAAAAGAACAGTACGAGTCGGTGTTCAGCAACCCACTAAATGACAGCAAGGTAGAAAATGCAGAAATATTTTTCACTCCAGAAGAAGGCCGCACAGACCAACTAACTGACATTAGTACAAATACCATAGATTTTGAAAAAGAAATGGAAAACATGCCCACTCACTCAGCACATGGACCAGATTCATGGAATGCTCTGTTTATAAAGAAGTGCAAAGTACCACTAGCATGAGCCTTCAGTATTCTTTGGAGAAAGAGCTTAGATCTAGGTGAAATACCGGAGGCCTTAAAGAGTGCAGACATAGCTCCTTTGCGTAAGGGAGGTAGTAGAGCACTAGCTAAAAATTACAGACTAGTAGCCCTAACCTCTCACATCATAAAAATCTTGAAAAGAGTGATGAGACGGCAGGTTACAAATTTCATGGACCAGCACAAAAAACATAACCCGAACTAGCATGGTTTTAGAGCAGGACGATCATGTCTGTCACAGCTGCTGAACCATTGTGACAGAATTATGGAGGCACTGGAAGACGACCAAAACGCAGATGTGATTTACACAGATTTTGCAAAGGCGTTTGACAAATGTGATCATGGAGTGATAGCGCACAAAATGAAGGCCATGGGCATTACGGGGAAGGTAGGCAGATGGACTTTCGGTTTCCTAACACACAGAACACAAAAAGTAGTAGTGAACAGGGCAAGATCCAGCATCAGCGAAGTCAAAAGCTCAATGCCCCAAGGCACTGTCCTGGCACCTCTGCTGTTCCTCATCCTCATAGCAGACAAAGACAAAAACACCCAGCACACTTTTGTATCATTTGCAGATGTCACTAAAATAAGCATGAAAGTCAGTACGGTAGAGGACACTGAAAAAATACAGGAAGACATAAATAGGGTTTTCCAGTGGGCAGTGGAGAACAACATGACGTTCAATGGTGATAAGTTCCAGCTGCTTAGGTATGGAAAGAATGAAGAACTCAAAAGGAGCACTATATACAAAACTCAAGAGGGTCACCAAATAGAATGTAAGGAACACATAAAAGACCTAGGAATAATTATGTCAGCGGACCTTTCTTTTAAAGACCATAACAAGACAAAGATCACGACAGCCAAGAAGATG